CCGATTTCGACACGATGAACACTTCTCCGGTTCTGAAAACTCCTTCTCCAATGGAGAAACAAGCATCGGAGTTCTACACGAGAAAGCTGTTTACGAGATTTCAAGAGGAATTGGTCAGCACACTCACTTTTACAGCATCCAAAGTGGATGACAATGGAGAAGTCACCACTTATCGAGTGGCGAAATTTGGTGAAGAGCATAAATTTTACCATGTGAATTTCAATGTTCTTGAGATGAAAGCTAGTTGCAGCTGTAGAATGTTCGAGTTTTCAGGGCTTCTTTGCAGACACGTGTTGGCGGTTTTTAGGGTGACAAATGTTCTTACACTTCCGTCTTATTATATATCGAAAAGATGGACGAGAAATGCGAAAAGTAGCGTTGTATTGGAAGAACGGGCTATAGATCCGTTCAACGGTTATTTGGAGTCTCATACCGTTCGGTACAATACCCTCAGGCACGAGGCTTTCAAATTTGTGGATGAAGGAGCTGAGTCTGTTGAATCATACAATGTGGCTATGGCGGTTTTGATGGAGGCTTCGAATAAAGTTGCTTTTGCTGTAAAGAATGAGGGGAAAGCTTCTGTGAATAATGGTCCTATGAGGAATAAGTCGAGTTATTGTAGGAGCGAAGGTGAAGGCAGCTCAACTCAGCAACTATCTGAGGTTTGTTATTTCTCTAACTTATACTTTGTGAAGTTGCGGGCTTTTTCTACTTCTTAATGATATGACATTGAGAGATTGCTCAAAATTTTGACAAACTATATATTCATAACAAACATCGTTAACTTTGTTGATTTAGTGGACGAAGTAGCGAGTTGTTCTTTGAGCTAGTTGTATAGCAGAGATTTCTAGTTTGTGCAATTTAATACGTTTCTTGAGAAATCAGCTGTTTTTTGGTGTTTTCGTTTTTGTCGTGTGGCTCCTTTAAATCTTCCACAATAAACATATATTATTTGTGGGATCCAAAGATGGTTTTGCTTGTGCCTACAGAAAGAGAAAAAAAATGTTTAGAAAATTTCTACTCAGTTCATTTATTAATTGCTGAGTCGCTTTTTCATTTCTATCTTTCTCTTGCCTTGTTAGATTGATACACTTCAGTGTTTCGACTAAAAAGGTATATTTTGATTTAATTACATTTTGGAGGAACAAAATTAATCTTGAAGCATTTTCATTGTAGTCTGTACTTTGAATCGGGCTAAAAAATTGCATCAAATATTTTTTGTAGGGCGACATGGATCAAAAGATCAACGAACTTTCGATGGATCTGGAGTGTGCGAATCGCAAATGTGAAGTATACCGCACGAACCTCCTCTCACTTTTGAAGGATATAGAAGACCATAAACAACGATTATCCATTGAAGTTCAAAACATAAAGCTGAGCATGAAAGACGGACTTTAAAAAAGAGGTGCAGTTTTTGTTCTTCACTCTGCTCTATACATATATTGTCTGTGCATATTCTTGTGCCAAGTGTAAGGCATATTTGTGAAGGAGTTGTCATTGTCTGCACTTAGGCAAAGAAGATAAAAGCTTTCAACTTTGCTTTTAGCAGATAATCTTGAAACCGGTATTTAGAACTCTGGATGCTGAGTGAGTGAGTTCATCAAAGTTTAATCGGAGGTCAAACGATAGAGCAACAACTGATCAATGATTGTGTAGTTTAGTGCAGCATACGAGTCCGGAGTCTCTGTAAAATTAGTGTAAATACAATGTTTTATCCATAGTTCAAATACTCCCCACAACTACTGATTTCTTCTCGATCAATAGGGTGAATTGAAATATTTATTTTTATCGTGAGAAACGATTTTGGTAGTAGCATAGGTGTGTGCTTTTTTAATGTCATTGTACTCTATACAATTTTTTGACTGCAATCTTCAATAACAGATAAATTGCCCACATTCCTGTGGTTTTGTAAACAGATCTCCAAGGCCAAAAACTCTTTGGCTGGTTTTTTTTTTGGGGCCTTAGGCTGATTTTGATGAATGGTTCTGCTTTTTCTTGGTTCTAACTTTGGCAAGACTCTTCCCTTTGATGTTTATTTATTGTTATGGTAAATTATGCCCACCCCCTGAGTTAGGTTAACTTACGAAAGAATCCCTTTTGTTTGTTACAACCTTTTGTTTGGATAATTACAACGACCCCCTCAACTATGTATTGTCTTACGAAAAATCCCCTCCTTCAATAGGTAAATTGACACCGTAGAGGTGTATGTGTAAGACAATACATAGTTGGGAGGTGTTTGTAATTATCCAAATAAGAGTCATTTTTTCGTAATTTGATCTTATCTCAGGAGGTGTCCGTAATATGCCCTTTGTTGTTATGGTAATATGATTAATTTTCAGAAACCAGCAGTTTTCATTTACCTAGCGGTGAACAAATGGCCCACCCTGTCCGGCCCACAGAAACCGGCCCACGGGCTCAGCCCACCTGGCCTACTGTTTTCATGAGCCGGCCCATGGAGGGAAATCATGAGCTCAGCCCGGCCCTAAGCCCATTTACCGTATTTTGACGGGCCCAAGGCCAAAAAAATTAAAAAAATCATATAAATATATAGAATGATTTATAAATTATAAAATAATTTAAAGTTATTATATAAGTAAGATACATATTTTTTTAAAGTATTTTTTATATTTTATTAGTAGAAATTAAAAAAACTCATAAAAGTAAATACTTAAAAGAAGGAAAGTTCTATTCGAGTTGTAGAGAAAAGATATTTGGGGGCTGGCGGGCAGCCCACGAGCCCATTACGGGCCACTGGTCAGCCCAGCCCACGAAGTAAACTTGATCCCAACCCATGGAATTATATTGCTGGGCTGGGCGGGCTGAATCCACAGGCTTGCTGGGGGCGGGCCGACGGGCCTGGGCTGAAATTTGTTCATACAGAATATTTAAACTATAAAAAAGAATAGTTACTGTGCAACCAATATTGCTAGTAAAATTACACATCCCACGACAAACAAATGTACTAGTTACAAAGGGTGCAACTTTCGTGCAGTTTTTCGTATTACAAAAACCAACAGAAACCAAAACCTGACTAGAAGATGGTAAAAATGACAACACTACGTAATGAAAGAAAGAAAGAAAGAAAGAGAAAAAATATTACAATAATAAACCCATCGACAGAAAGAAGAAAGAAACGTCGAACCAGGGCAACAAATTGTGCGAGAAAGAATAATATCAAAAATTGATAACCAACCTCCCAAGTATTCAAACTCTAATGCTAAGCCGATTAAATACACGTTTGGCCCTTTTTACTCCCGCCAGCCCTTGCTTCGCATTCATTACTGACAAACCGGGATATTCGGGCAGCTCTGCTTTATCAACATTCGTAAACAAAGTTTTTATCGATGAAAAAGTTGTTTTAATAATACCCAACTTCAAAGCAAACCAGCAAGCATAGCTCCAGGATCTGATGATAGTAGTGCTGTAGGTGGACTAAGTGGCTGCCCTTGAGGCGGCATTGGTGGCGTAGCTGCCCGAGAAGTAATCGGAATGCTGATTAATTGTTCTTTAACAAACTCTTTCAATCTGCAAGCGCCCACAAGAATATCATTATCATATTTATGAACATATATATATATATATATATATATATTTCAAGGGGAGAATTAGATGCAATTGAACTCGAATAAATGTACATACTCAAATGTGAGTGTTGGATCTCCAGATGCAATCGTCATCCGCAACTGTGTTCTATCAGCTGGATCGGTTTCTATTCTTATCTATAAATTCCAAGCAAAATTTAATTAATATATGATTCAACTTTCTGGTTCGTCAGCTTAACATTTTATTATAAGGGAAAAATTCTATCCAGCATGCCATTTATAATCCAAGTAGACTTCAACCAAATAAACACGAATAACTGAAATACAAGCATACCAAACATAACATGGCCCGTGTATTTTCAGAGTAGAAAGTTGTGCTCACGACCAAATTATTTGCATTGGGATCCTGAGTGGGGAAAAAAAAGGAACAAGAAAAAGAAAGTAATTTTTCAGGCTATTATACAGAAGCAAATATAATAATACCCACCATCTGGGGTTGATCGAAAATCGTCAGGATTAAGCACTTACAAGCCCAGGGCAAACCATCAGGTTCAGACTGTTAAATAAGTTAGCCATTTCTGCAAGGAGCATTGGTCTTACACCTCTAACCTGGTAAGTTTATGGTAAAAAACGTTACTTTAATTCCTCTGGATTAGAAAGGTAAACAAGTTCTGAAAGGCACATACCACTTCTTGCAGCTTCAATGGGGGACCAGAGAGTGATCTCCATTGTGGGAAAAATTCTTCAGCAGAGATCGGAATTGGCTGAAGAAACTTGTTTAAGACAGCAGGAAGTCGAAGCTTTACATTGACCTGCTCATGCAATATACATTAGCTTTGCAGAAAATTAACAACCCTCTCTCTCTCTCCCCATCTCTCTACACCCACAAATTTATCCTTGGTTTTAATTCATAGTTCTAAAGCAGTACCAATTGTGTTCCAAAATTGTACGAAAAGTCCAGCACAGCTGAATCCCTGCTCGGGTGAAGGTTGATTATTTCAAGCGGACATTGAACCTAAGCAGGAGAAAAATAGCAGTTTTCTCATTAATCATTATACTAATACAGGGGAAAAATAATTTTTTTCTACAAAAAATAAATAAAAATAGCTAGTAATCTGACCTGTGCCCTTGGAGGAATAATATCAGGTACTAATGAGAGTTCTATCTTCAGATGTGATGGGGACAATATTAAAGCTTGAACTGAACTGAGAGCACCGAGATTTTTATTTCCCAAGAAAAGAACAACTCGACCCTGATGAGCTCGCCAGTCAGCTTTTATCCCAATCTGTAATCGCATTAGCAGTTTGCAATTAACAGGTACAATCAGTTTCATCCCATAGAACTAAATAGTGTATCAAAAAGGCGAACATGTTGCATGATAACTGAACCGAAACATAGTAAGACTGGACCTGAATATGGGGATCCTCGTATAAGACACCACTATCCTTCAAGCATAGAGCATGAAATCTTTCCGCAATATCACCGATCGGCTGCAAGCATCAAAGATGGACTAAGAAGTCATAAGCAGAAACATAAGTAGGAAGTAGGTAACAGAGAAATTTGGCTGCATCACCTCTTTTCTATCTGATAACTTTGCATGATACTCTACATACATGATATTCCAGAAAAATCATTTAACGCCTCAAAACATTTAAAACTTCTGAAATAAAAAACATATAGTCCAAGGCATTCAAAGTATCCCACATTGCCATTTGTAAATATTACCTAAGAACACACCTCAATTCCTACACTCAACAAGCTCATATATCCTGGTCGTCTTTGATAAACAAAGAGTTATAGGGAGGGCAGCCCACAAAACATATGCATGCCCTAATACATGAGGGGGACAGGCAAATGCCTCTTGATATTTTATCAGCATTAATTACCAAAGAGAAGTTTTTGGAGTGCCCTGCAAAACTTTTGAAACTACGGAGTTTCAGACGGTACTTCAAAGGTAAAACTCCCTGAGTTATTAAAACATTTATGGACTAAGTTTGGCACTAAAATTTACACATATTTTCTCATGTAACTGGTGTATCAGTAAACTGAGACATGGAACAGTGTTTTTTTTACTGACAAGATTTAGAAACAAGAAAACAGGAAGACACTAGAACACTCTATCAACACTCCATGTCTACAGTGAACCAAAGCTTGCAAGAACACCATAAAACAGATTA